TAAATTTAGATTGAAAACTAATTTCTTTAGAACTTCTTTTTGTGTTTAGTTTGTTGTCCTTCCCCCGCACCTCCGATTAGCACGGTTGGCTACGTACGGAACTAAATAAATTCAACATGCATACATACGGCACAGGCCAGCGGGCATCTTCTTCACAGTAGGTTGTTCACAGTCAATGCTACGGTGCGTTGCTGGCGCAAATGGTACAGCTGTTTGGACACAGGATGGATGCAGCCTTCAACCTGCCAGCCATTGATGTCGCCCCCGTCATCGCAAATGCCAACACAGCGTGTCCAATCCAGTGCATTAATGTACAATGAAATCATTGGATACAGCGAAGATAGCTTCTCCTGTTGTGTTGGTAAGCAGAAAATTAATCATGTATTTACCCGGCATAAGAATACTTGATGTATGACCAGGAGGTAAGTGTCGCCCACTATGTCGGAGGACTCATCGAGATGGAGAGAAAAGTCCTGCCAACAGCTGGCATTTCACATTTTGTGGCTGTTGTTCAACGCAGAACCGCATCATTCGAAAGGCGTAACTTGTCAGGGATATTCTTTGCCTCTTTCCCAAGCGTGATGTTAGCTGTATTTGTTTTGCAAAAGGCTTAACAGGCATTGTCATTGCCCGGATCGACCTGCGTTTACAGGACCGCCGCGGATCACTGGTGGCCCGGGGACCACACTTTAAGAACCAACCTTTCTGGACCCCACGGACTGCCACTGTCAAACCTCACAACATTTTCACGGACCACCTTACACCAGCAACATATATGTCAACATAAAACCCAAAGCTCCTCTAATTCGTAGTGCCTGCAATAGTTCTGCGGACCACTTCCTATGGTCTTGCCATCCCCGCTCTCTCACTTTACCTTGTCCAAACACGCACAAGCATGCCAAACTGTTATTTGCTCAACATCATAACATCATTCGCTTTGCAAACTCACAGATGGCAGTGAGGTAGTGATAGTCCAGCTATTCTGCCCCTCAAATATTTTTGCCTGCTCTCCAAGACAAATCGGATCCTATGGAGAAACTAATTTTCAATTTGTATTAAATGGGATTCTTTTGTAGTAATAGCCGTGTACTCCTCTTTGGTTCTTGGGTCACGGTAAAGAATGATTGACACACATGTTTCAGGAGATCAGTACGCCCTTTGCACTGTAAGCACTACTTTTTGCACCGATGCCTGCATTTCATCATCCATCTCCCGTGCAACAGAGGCTCCCGTAACGGCGGCGGGGGGCACTTACACGATGATTGAACATTGTGAATTCAAACGTTGGTCCGAGTCAACCGGGCCAATGGATCCCCGCCCACCCCCCCCCCCCCCCCCCCCGTCAGATCAATAAAGTGAGTACCACTTTGTGTGAGGTTAACAGTGGTCATCACGTTGGGAGATTCACCTCCTCGTCATCGCAATGCTAAATTTACACCGCCGGCTCAGAGCCACCTGCGGTGACGAGTGTTGCCTCCCCGTTGCCTTTGAGCGGCGAGAGGCATTGATTACACGACAATCAGCGCAATCCAAGTGGAGGAAGCGCAAGAGACAGATTACACTCTGTAACACAATTTTTGTTCCTGGGCAGTAAGTGTTATTTCGTAATTGCTTATGCCTAAAAAGTATTGAAAATGGCTATTATGTCCCACAAACTTTGCTTTTGTGACCAGGACAGTGATATTTTGAACAGTACCTATTTGCAATGAGAACACGGGCCAATTTGTGTCTTTTCGTTCATATAAAGTCAGAAAAAACAACATATTAATCAAAATTAACATGTATTTATACTAAAGTAATACAAAATATTACTAAAAAAGATTTAGAAGTGAATCGTTTTTCGAGACGATTATACTGCAAAATCACTATCACGGATCAGCCCCCAAATGTAGTTTCCCATCATGTTCTTGTTATACTGTCCTTGGTAGCGGCGTTCAAAGTTAGCGGGGTCGACTACATTGGAGAGAGGAAAACGGAGTGTTTCACCATTGCATATCGCATCAAGATCCAAGGCATCACGAAGGTCAAAACCCTTGATGCCACCCGCTCCTCACCGGCGCCTTTTCTCCTTGTGCCATATCCCACAGCTGCTGCACAGGAGACGCGTGACCCCCAAGAGCTGCCCTAAGAGTAACCTCACCTCTGGATTTCAGTCTTCACCCCGGCTTGCCAGACTCGTAGGGACCACTCCAATGCTTGTCTCAGTAACCGGCCCCCCTCCATCCTGCACACGCCTCCCCCACCGGTTTAATGTTTTTTTTTTTATCCAATCCTATCCACAGCACTCACCTTGCTATGATCTCTTCAGGACTTGCGGAAGAGCAACACCATTCCCCCCCCTCCCCCACCGCGTATACTCATTGCAATGACATTCATTGGGTCTTTTGGTAAAGTCACGTAGATAGGTTCAAAGAAAAATTACAAAAAAACTTACTATGTTTCGATCGCAACACAAGCGATCGAAACACAAGCGATCGTCATCCTGATATATTGCGATCGAAACGTCCTAGTTTTTTGTTATTTTATTTGAAGCTATCTACGTGACTTTACCGAAAGACCCAAAGAACATGAATTCCTGCAGTCACGAAAGCTTGAAGTCAAGATTCATTGCAATGACGTTGTGAGTCACATTGCACTCGCTCAAGGACTGTCAATACATTATAAATCTATCAATACATTTTCGACAATAAAAATGTGTTGGAATGCCCAGACAAAAGGAGACACCTGTACGGATAAACACAGATAGTTAAACTAAAACTATTTACAAAACGAAACAATTTTTTTTATTTTACTGGGTAAAGCCCACTGAGCTATAACGATTTTTTTTCAGAAGCGACCTGGCCACAAATGATAGCTCAACGAAGTGGCTCATGTGGAAATTGATACAGAGAGATTCATGATTGGTTTATTTGGGTTAGATTGTGTAGGTAGAATGTCAAATTTTAACTATGCCCTCCACCAACCAACCGAGTCCAACAAATTAAACTACTAACTATTTTTATTTTAAGGCTCACTGAGCTATTTCAGCTCTTTTTCAGAAACGACCCGGCCACAAATTACAGCTGGAAATGTATATATCAGCCAAATCCTCTCAACGCATGTTGATTCTAAATGTGGAGGGGAAAACCCGGGGGACCCGGAGGAAAATCCACGCGACCGCGGCGGGAGAGAAACACCGCGAGTGCCCTCGTATCAAATTGCACAGGAAGAGGTGAGCGCGTTGACTCTGAATTATTGCTGACTGGAAGCAACGGTGAGGAGTAGGGTTGTGACCTCAGGGAGAACTAGATCTACGCTTGTTATCTCGAGCTGTGGATTATAACGCAACTGACCCAACCCGGGACTTTTAGCGTCACGGTAAGACAGATTTCCCAGGACAGCGACCGCAAAAAGAGGGCGTCCTGGGAAAACCCGGGACAGGTGGCAACCCTAGCGAAGAGACTCGCCCAAAAGTTGTGAAGTCACCCACACCCGGGAGCATAACGCTGATCCCTGTGAGTGCAGTGCGATCGCTATTACACCATGCAGTCGTCAGGGGCCATCCATTTAGTACGTACGCGTGGAGAGGGGAGGGGGGTTTAACCCAAATGTGTACGCTTACGTATGGGGGGGGGGGTCTACTGACAATGTACGTACGCATAGGAAACGGGGGGGGGGGGTGAAGCCTCGATAATAATTTGTCTACATTGGACTATCTGTTTGCTTAAACACGTGAATATTATTATTATTAATCCTTGATCGTTTCTGTGTGGATTAAATATCGGCCGTTCTATAGAATTCGGGGTGAAGGGGGGGGGGTCAGGCTGTACGTACGCAGGTGGTGGGGGGGGGGGAGTGTAAAAGTACACGTGCGTACAGGGAAGGGGTAAAAATTTGACCGATTTTTGCGTTTCTACTCAATGGATGGCCCCTCAGCTGCACGCCGGAGGTAATGGTCAGCGACGGCCCGGGAGTTTGGCGGACATTAAAGGAAGAACCAACAATAAAAAAAACCCGTCTGATAATTGTTTACGCGTGAATACAAAATCGATCCGCGGCAAGGAGCCAGTTCAAATTAATCTATTTTTGTAAATAATAGAGAAAAAAAATCAATCCTGTCACTTCCCCACTGGCTTCCACCTACCGGACGGTGTTCCTTCGATTTGGCTTTCTAATTCCCTCCCACACGATGGCTTCTTGCATGCGGCTAACGAAGCATATCATCAAGTGCTGTAATACACTGTGCAACTGCATGTCTATGCAGGTCACCACCGTACGGCGATGGTGATTAACTGTGAGCGGCCAATAACATGTACTGCGATTTTTGCTCTTCAAAAAGGGCAGAGTGGATATACACTCTTAATCAACATGCATGCATTAATCAACATACATTATCAACATGCATACATTATGCATGTTGATTAACTGTGAATAATTTAACCTTATATGAAAACATTAACCCCCCCCCCCCCATCCAAGTCTTTGCAGCTGATAGGATGACAAATGTCGACTTCACATCTTTCACTTTATTTCAGACTTCATTTCAGACTTTATTTCAGACTGTATTTCAGACTTTATTTCAGAATTTATTTCAGACGTCATGGCTAGTGTGCCTGAAACGCATTTCAGAAACGCATTTCAGAAACGCATTTCAGGCACGAAAATTACTCCACCCCCAACCCCCCCAGTGAACAAAAGCTCCAAACGCCAATGAAGCAACTTGTAAGGGTTGCAGCATACCGCGTGACGCCTCTCAGGAGTACTGCCAGGGGCTGTTTGCCACGATCGGCGCCACCCCCCCCCGCCACCCGCCACGTTTCGCTCCACGCGACCGGGAGCACAGACAAACGTCCGGGCATCGCTCCGAGCAACAGCGCGGTACAACCCGTAAAGACACCGGGAAGTTGCAGAGCACAAGCGCGGAACGCATTTGTGCAGTTCCACAGTAGAGGTCGTTAAACCCGCCAATTAGTAAGGTTTGTCACAAAAAAAAAACAGAACGTGCCAATTCGTTACCAGTACAGAACACCGATGTGTTGGAGAGTGAACCCACAACATTTACAATCCGAGTACGACGTGACGCCAGCAATTGCAACTGCCATCATCAGGCGAGAGCCAGGGTTGTGGAGAAATCCTCCTGTTTCGGTGTTAAAGCCCTACGTGCTAAACCGACACATGCGTTCGTAAAAATAACAGACGTTCAAGGTTTCTGGGTTACTTACACCTTTATTTAAATTAATTAACATTTTAAACACGAGCAATATATACACGCACAAGTATATTATATATATTAACTTTAGAACAAGGTGAGATCCCATTGCAAGGAAAAATGTCTTGCAAGGGAGACCTGGGATACAACCAAAGTACAGTAAAACATATATCTCAGTGCAGATCTTATCAAAAACCATTAACGCTACAAAATGTAACAAAAATATATTACGATGAAGTAATGTATCTATGTATGTTGAACTTCTTTCGCACCGTACACAGCCAACCGTAAAAGACTTGTGCAAAGTTTAAATACGAAACCAAAATTAACAAGACCGAAATAAAAGTTTAAAAAATATAAATACAAATTGTCAGCACGTGTCTTCATTGTTATTTCAGGCTTGTGAGAGTATGCGATTTTATTAACTAATAATACACATGTACAAGTAAACCCGATCTGCGTTTGAGAACATTACAGTATACGTGGTATTGTCTAATTCTTAAACGCATCAGTATATTGAGAATTGTACCGTTAATTGCTAGCAACGGGGGCCTCTGCATTGACCGCACTAAATACGAATCTCCAAGACTCTACTTCAAAGTGGCATATTGCTACAGATGTCAAAGTGCGCTTGCCCACGTGGTTCATTGCCACGTATACAGCATCCCAAGGGTGATATTTGCAGTCTCCGATCTGAATTTTAGGTTGTGCGGCAGGTAGTTCATTGGCAGGATTGTCCGACATTTCGCTCCCAATGCGCTGGAACACTGGTGGGAGCTACCTTGCATAAACTGAATTCGCCACAAGCACAATGCAGTGAAACGCGGGACAACGCGCCCAACAACTGGCTAATTTCCGTGTCAAAATCATGTCGGACATTTAATTCACTCAGGAAAGTTTGACAGAGTCTGACTTTTTCCGGAGGGCCCTGCGAAATGTCCGCAGTAGTGGGACGATGATTGACGTGCATACATTCCCAAGTGAGTAATTTTGCGGGGACTGGGCGAATCTGAACCGTGACGTCGACACACGATGGCCTTACTCTTGAAGCAGATGGCACGTGATATATATTTAATGTCGTAAAGACACAACGCAGTCAATAATTAGGGTGGCCGCCGAAATCAAACCGTGGAATACCTCTGCAACGAGAGACGGGCGCGGTACCATCGGGCTGCGTCACCGCCTCCCCCCCAATGACTCTCTCTGCGTTCAAGGGGAGAGAATGAGGCTGCCACCCACTCATCAGGCTCAGTAAAACGCCAGGCTAGGTGCGAAAACTGTGGGATGTAGGCGACTACGGTGGTTAAATTATTTAACCGTCAATTTTGCCTCCAGCGCAAACCACTCGGTGGCGGCGAAGCTGGTTTGCTGACGAGAATTTCTTCTACAGCCTGTGCAACGGAAAGTTGCAATTAAGTAGTGCGATACCAATCACGGGTGAAGCATTGGGGATTTGACCCATGCTGCTATAGTCAAATCTATACACTGTAATACTGTATACTGCAGTATGCAATGCCTTACTAGACTGCATGTTTGCAGAGTGTGCGTATACATATGAAATGAAGATGAGGATAAAAGGATGAGCTATACGTAACTGCACAAGTGAGTGGGCGATGGCACGATAACATGAGGACCCTTCGATTTAGCAGTGGCTACTATAAGAAATGGCTGAGGATGTGCAATTATACAGCACGATTTGGATTTATAAAGTGTCTGCGTGCAAAAACTGTATCTCATGATGCGGTAGTGGCTATCCATATGGTCTGTAACCCAGCACTTGTGGAGGCAGTGAGGGAAGGTTGGTGGATTGCACAAATGTTGTGATACTATCTTCCCGTGGACATCAAAGAGGTGCCATACCCTGGCTCACCAGGAGAAGGCAGTACACAAAGTGGACTAATCACCATCTGTTTGCATCTGTGCGGGGATAGAACGTTGCCCCCTCGCATGCGTGGGTTTCTCCAGATGCTTCAATTTCCTCCCACGTGTATAATAAACACTCAATCATTGGCTGAAAACATCTTAAAATACAACTCAGTGTGACTTTCCTGGACAACTAAGTAAATGATACAAAAATTAGAATTAAATTATATTTAAATGGAACGGCATGTGAATACAATATTAAGGAACATTTCTTTGAGTATTTTTCTTCTTTCTTACAGTGCAGAGAGAAAGGAGAGGAATTGACATTCACTTTCAGAGACTTACTGAAGCAACCTCTCTGCAGAACGACGTTGGTTCCCATTTAGTAAACCGTAACCTCATGATTTAGTTGCATGCACTATACATGTCACTTCACTGCAAACATTTATCAATCGCGTAACAGTGCTCCGATAGGATTTAAGGGCAAATAAAAGTCAAAGTAATTTCCTCTGTACGGGGAGTATGGCTATTCGAATTTGAGCCTTGAACTTCTGATGGAAATGCCCCATTCACAACTAAATTGGTTGTAATTTTATAAAACAGACTTGCAATGCAAGACATTATTGCGCATTGTGTCCGCGAATAAAACAATCTACGTGCTTTCGCTCGCTTCAGTAGCGGAAACGTTCTCACCTCGGACTTTGTTCAACACGCCCCGTTCAAAACAACAAAATAGAGGTTGCTTCAAAATGTATTAAACACTTACATGGGACTATCGCTTCGAATGGAAAAAGAACGGATGATACACTGTAACGTGATAACAAATGTATGTTAATAGCTTCAAAAAGTAAAAAAGAAAAGTCTCCACTTGTTCGCCATCATTGTCAACACGTGGCCTGGAATCTTCTCCAGCTGGACTCCAGAGCCCGGAGGCGGCACATTTCTTCTGGTGTTGTTGTAAATTCTCCGGAGTGTTAACGTTTTTTTGAAGCACCCTGTACATCGCCAGCTTGCCTTCTGCAGCCGCTTGTGCCAACTGAGCGAGCAAGTGGGGAAAACCCGATGTCATTTAAGTGCCCCTTTTTAATATAAATAAATCAGGTGAGGACCCATTGAGAGTCTACATTATTGTAATCACTGGTATTAATAAGCTCGTGTGCTACCCATCTTTATACAATTCAGTTTTTAGAGGTATATTTAATTGGTATTGCAATTAAAGGCCGAGGCTGGCATATTCTGGAATTTAATTCCTACTTTTTGTCGACATACAACATAATACTGCATGTTTTTTTGCATTTTACCATATCAAATGCGATGCATCGATATCATCAAGATCCCAGAAGCTAAGCTGCTTTGAGCCAAAATCAAGCTCGGACGGCCGACCACCGTTTGTAACAGTCACTGCAGGCTGCGGGGGCTATGTTGTGGGTGGCATATGCCTGTGCAAAAAAATAATGTTTTGTTGTTGTACCATACTTTCTACGCTCCCTGCCTTTGGCCACGAGTATGGCGAAGTATGGTAAGAAAAAAAATCCCCATGGGCCACTCGGAGTGGAGAGCCTCTCGTCCAGCAGCTGACGAACACAGGGATGTGCAGGCACACGAGGCCCTTCACACGTTCACGCGCGTGACGTGTTAACCGAGCAAAAAAATGCGCGCATAACAACCAAATTACACTCTTCATCCTCTGTTGTAATGTCTCCGATCAAAACCGTGCCGCCATGGCACTTCCTGTCCCTGCCGGCCTGAACGCCCGAGGCTGAGCAGGGCTACAGAGCCGGGCTGCAGAAGAGAGATATGGGCAGACAGAAGGGCTCGCAATTGGGTGGCTGAGTCGGTCGTGCCAGATGGGAGACACCGGCCAGGGTACCGTGGGCCGGGGCGTTGACTTGGCAGCAGGGTCTGACTTCGCACCTGCAAGCGCAGGCGGCAAGGCGAGGGGCGACAAGTGAGACACAGGGACAAGGAGCAGCAATGGAGCGCATATTCAAAGTCCAAAACTCTTACGCCGATGCTCGATGGCGTTTGAAGAAGGCTCTTGGCGAGTCGCCATGAAAGTTCGCACATACAAGGAATTTACTTTGGCCGGAAGGTGCATACATTCCACATATAGGAATCTTAAATCTTAATATAAAGTAGCTATAAGATACAATCTAAAAATACAAAAAATACAAATCGGGTAACATAGTGTAAATATGAACTTCTGTTCTAGAAATTATTAACCGGCACGTAAAGCGGCAACAATAATTTAAGTTTTAATGTTGTAATATGCTGGCTGGATGATAAAAACAATAATTTTACTTCAAAAGCAATGATTTAATATGAAGTAAAGAATTCTATGAAATATTTTATATTATAAATCCATGTGAAAAAAAAACCCGTAAAATTTAACAATGGAACATTTCTGACAAAAATCTGACTCAGCAGCCAATATGAAGCCCACTTTAACACCGATTAAAAGACATGTGTCTCATCCAAGACAAACCTATATTTATAGGTAAGATAAATGGACATTTGTAAAAAAGTTAATTTGAACATCTGTTTATAATTTGGAGGCAAAAAGTTTAAAGTTGTGGCACCATTGGAGATTAAATTTGGCTAGGTGGCTCAGGGACCGAATCCTGCGTTGGGAGCGCTGAGCTGGAACTGCTAAGATCCAGGAGTTCAGAAGCAACAGCCCCCCCGCCCCCCGCGAATAAACAGTGTAGCGAGTTTATGGTCTCAGCTTGGTCAGCAATGGCCTCAGGCAAAAAAAAAACCCCACCGTTAAATATGACACGCGTAGATTTTCACGGTTCTGCCACCACATAGCTCTCTCTCCGATGTGTTTTCGGGTTGTGCCACGTGTACTTCCGCACGCTGTCCAACGTTTTGCTCCACGTGCTGGGAGGTCCAGGGGAAGCTAAATGCCAATGTCGAGGTCTGTGCTAGCCAGGACGAGAGGGCTTCAGGAGGGACTTCGTGTAGTTTTTCTGTTTCTCCTCCATTGAAGGGTTGCAGCCTAGGTTGGTTCGCTATGTGGTCCGTAGCTTGGGTTGCATGGCCCCAATCGCGCTGCTGTGGCTGTGTCTTTAATTTTACATTTATCAAGGAGAGGTCAGCATCGGCCTGTCGATGCTCTGATGCAGTTGATGGTTACACAGTGTCTTCGAGAAATGTCAAAGGCAGGAGGTGCGATCAGTCATCAATCAAATGATACATTTTTATTTGATGTGCCAATATCACCCTCAATATAGTAGGCATCAGTGCACCATTACAGCAGAACCGGAAGCGGTACAGGGCGCAAGGAGTAACAAGAATGGAAGAGCAACCTGTCATGACCTCAGCGGCCAACACCGACTGAGCAAAGTAAATTGCAACCGTGCGCAACGAATAACATCATAAAAAAGAGTGGTAAATAAAAAAAATAAAACACGTAAAGAATTGGCTTTGCATCTCACGTTCGCATCTCAAACACGTTTGAAGGGCACCCCCCCACCTCACCCCAACTTGGCAGCTATCTCAATGTGCGGCACGGGGCTCTGACTCGGCAACCAGACCTGGCAAACGAGCAGCATAAGCCTGCCAGTAGAGGGGCGATGATCGCCGACACATGTATGTTGAACTTCTTTCGCACCGTACATGGCCAACAGTGTTTATCGGAGGTGCGGGGACGGACGAAAAAAACAAACACAAAGTGCAGTTCTAAAGGAATTCGTGTCCAAATCTAAATGTAAAAATGCATCGCTCCAGTGGCTTCCTAATATCGGAAGAGCGTTCCAGACGGCCGCAGAAGCGCATGCAAAAGCAGCGGCTAGCCAAAAGCCGCTGCTGCAAGGATGATCGGAGTACGCGTGATGGTTTATGCTCCTCAATGAGCTCAGCAATGTATTGTGGTTCATTTGTGGCGAGTGCTTTGCGTGTATAATGAGCGTGACCTTATAATGATGATGGTGAACGTCCCCTTACCTTGTGATGTTGCGGAACACCTTTTTGTCATCACGGTCAATGCACAAGGAGAAGTTGGAGCCCCCTGCTGCCGTCAGCTGTACCTTGTCCACCCTCACTTCCAAAGCATTTAGTTGCTGCAGAGACAAAGGGCCCACATGCATCGGCGCAATTGCAAAGTCGTAGGCTCTCAATGGCACCGTATCCTCTGGATTATGACATAACGTGTTCCCGGTGTCAACAATGTTATGCAAGTCTGCCCACAAATACAGTTACCGGGTGAGAAGATTCTCTACCTCACCCCCTCTCCTCCCCCTAGCCATACCTAAAATGTTGCTTTAAAACACAGGGGGGGAAAAAAAATGCGTGTGTAATTTGGAGAATATACGGTAGTTGTTATTGTTGGTCTGTGTTCATAACGGACATTTATTTTGTGAGCGTGACATAAAAGCAGCACATGTGAAGCATACATATATCCGCTGCGTACGAGTGAATCGTGTCAAGTGAGATATTTTTTTGTACCTAACCACCTTTAATTGTGTGCCACTGCTGCATGAAAGTCATTGTACATCCATCCACGTTTGCCTACAGGAGGCATGGTGCACACGCGCATTCAAGCCTCGTAGAGAAAGAGGCAAACTTCTGCCCCGTTTATACATTTCATCTCAACAATACAGAGACCGGATAACTGCGTAGGCTTTGGCGGCTCAGCTCTACGGCGCTCTGACATGGCTTCCGTTTGTGCCACACGCCACCCGGCACGATGTTCAGACGTGTCGCAACACGCGCGGTCGCCTCGTGGAGAACCCGCTCCTGCGCGCTGGGAGCGTCATTTCACTTCATGAAGTGGCTCCCGGCGCTTGGAGCGAAACGTCGGGCATCGTGCCGAATGACACGCGGTGGGACCCGAAGGCACATTGGAGAGAGCTACGAATGTTCGGTATTGCCGCGGCTTCCGCGAAGTTTTTGCTGTACCTGGTTGTAAGCGGATTTTCCCTTGGATCCTTGTGACCTCCGTACGACTTCCAGCAAAGTGAGGTTGAGTGTGCCCATGCCAGCGTCTGCGAATGTGAACACAAGTGTCACGTTAATCAATGTCAACAGTTGAGTAATTTCTATCAAACCCTCCGTCGTTCATTTCATCAGCGATGTCTCAAACTGTTTCATCGGCATCCATGCACACAGTCCTGCACCGCACCTCTTATCATGGTAAAGGAGCAGCTCCATAACTGCTTGCTCACGTCACTGCTGCTACTGAACGGGCCTCCACTGGAGGGAGGGTACTTGGCCTACTCTTCCACGCTGGCCAGACATCTTGGAAGGTGTGACCGTACGCACACTTTACATCACCACACGCGGGTCTGCCGATCGAATATCTGTGGTGTAACCTTTCGTACTGCTGAGTGGACAGGGGCTATGGGGTTTGACATCCAGGTTCAGTTGAACGTTTTTCTCGTGTACGCCCCAGGCTCTGGAACCCTCTCCCACGAGTCGCCAGGATCTCCGATCCTGTGGGCAATTGTAATGCCCCGTCTTAAATCGTATCTTCACGTTTCCAATGATTCAACTTTTAGTGAATTCATCAAATCGTTTTCTTAGCATTTCTTTTATCATTCTGTCCTGTCTCAGCTGTTAATTTCACGAGTTATTTTGATGCTGAGTATCTGCTGCCGTGTCCTGTTGAAGGAAGAAGTGGCTAAGTGTGAGAATTAAAGGAGAGATTGAAAACAAGCAAACCAATTTCGTTCAGTGGCCTACACTATACAACCACCACACTGATCTACTCGAAGTTGTCTATTGGTGAGAAACTCACCTTGTACAGCATCTGGTTGGCACAAATAGGTATTTATCTACGAGATGAATTATGTACAGAATCAAGGTTTAGAGATGGAATATTTGCGTTGGCCTGTGGGTCACCAGCCCAACATACATCGCCACGTTATGCAAGAGGTCATGATGCAAAGCCATGACCTCAGCGATGTCAACTCTACACTGACGATATGATAAAAGGCGAAAACTACGGAGTGCAATACGGATTTACATTGCGTCTAAATGCAATTGCTCCTGATAGATGCTTTCTAGGAACATTGGGCATATTTATTCTTCAGGGAGAGGGCACGCAGTCATATGCAAAGGGAAAAAAATAAGTTGTTGTGCCTGGGACTTGAACAGGGGCAGGAAATCAACAGCACAGAAGGCAGGGGTGAAAGGAAGTATAACATAGCTAACTCTCCCTAGAATATTCTCAGCTAATGTAGAAGTATTTGGCCACGAGCTTTGAGTGCAGTATATGGAGAGGAACTTCACATTGATGTTTCGCTGTAGCGATGTTATCTCCCTCGCCTGGTACGCAAGAGGCCGTGAGTTCAATCCTGAACCTGACGATGCCTGTTGTATATTTGGAGTGTTCTCTCCCCGTGGTGATCACTTTGATTATTATCCAGGTCTTCTACGTTTGCCCTCCACATTTAAAAACGTGCGTTTCAGATTATTTGGCCGCTATAAATTGCCACGCATAATGATGAGCTATCATGCGTGGCCATGTCGCCTCTGAAAAAGCATTAACATCTCAAGTGGGCTTTTCCTGGTCAATACAACATTATCATAGTCGAATTACGACAGTGGCCGGAGTTTATTGTCTGTGGACATGCGTTTCAGTACTTTTCAGCAGCTCTGTTGCATTGCACATTCACTTCCTGCTTGTAAAATTTGAAGAACCCCCCCCCCTCCCCTCCCCCACATAATCCAAACAATGCGAGGTTATAATTACGCTTCTTTACACACAGAGCAAGGAATGATCGATTTTGACCACACGCTCAGTCGGAATTTCCAAATGGGTTTTCGTCCATAAAAGTGCTCCAGGATATTGAACGGGAGGCAATGTGAGGACAACTGTGATATGTTGAACTCATCTGGCACCGTACGTAGCCGACCGTGCTAATCGGAGGTATAGCAGTACGATGGAATTAATGCTGTGAATCATTGTGGCGTGAATGATTTCATGCAAATAAAATAATAATTCGAAGCTCTGTCAATCCACTGTTGGAGGAAGGCCTCCCCATGATGCATCACCCATGGGGGTTGTTTGACCAGACTTAACCATGCTGGTCAAGTGGAGGTTGAGTTCGGTGAGTGGGGTGGCCAGGGGCCGGTTCAAACATCGCTCACCGGTGATGTTAGCCGCGACCAGAATGCAAACGCAGGTGGCTAGATTAACATCGCTGCAGCTTCACTCCCCCCCCCCCCCCCCGATTTTTTAAAAAATCTTACACAACCTGAATGAACGTGGTTCTCAGACAATGTATTCATTTAAAAAAGAATGAACGTGGTTCTCAGACAATGTATTCATTTAAAACAAAATCTATCGATGCCATTTTTCATTGGGATTCAAACAAATGCCCTTTAACACACAAAAGCCCTCTTCCGAATCATCTCCACAGGAGCCAATCATGGTGGTTATATATATGAAGCAACGCTATTTCCATAACGTTTGAAATTTTTAAGTTGTACACCATTTGGATAAAAAAAAAATACAAGTGGGCCAACCTGTATTTGAAGGCGAAGGGTAAAAAGTGACATTCAAGAGATGTTAAAAGCCAAGGGAGACTATGACATTATATTTGTTGTTGTTGGTGCAATTACACAGAAAACTTTTGTTAAATCTGCATTTTGCCTACCATGCCATATACACTGGTTCCTCCTGCGAAAGCATTGAGGCTCAGTCAGACTTACAGTGTTATTACAATAAGTAGGATTTAATTCAAAATAAATTCTGTGAAAGCGTCAATTGAGGCTCCAGAGTGCGACGATGAATGTAAACGTGAATACGTATTCACAATCGTAGCTCACGATAAACACTGGACATCTGCGCAAAAAATTGCTTTACAGCTCATCAGTGTAAATCAATATTCTGATTCTCTTTCGATTCTTATTGTTTTGCGGGACGGCAGTTGAAACAACGGTGCAAATTTCTCAAATCCCATCCGGGCCTCTGTCCAAGCACCAGTGTATAATGGGTCACCGCGGATATTCATTCGGCAGGTCAAGTGTGGTGGGGTTGAAGCGTCGGAAATTCGACCTCTTCCAAGACGTCTGGCCAGAATGGAAAAATAGGCCAAACGCCCCCCCCCCCCCCCCTTTAGATGGGCTCTCTAGAGCTTGCTCTAAGTGGAGGCACTTCCACCAGCAGTGGCATGAAATGTAAATTGTAAATTTGAACCATTCCTTTTAACATTTTACAATGCATTTGCTTACCCCCTTCATCAAAAAGCTTCTGGGATAGTGGCCAATTCCTTTTAGAATGTTTCCCAAATGAATGCTGCAGCTCTTCACAGATAGGTTAGCCGCCTACTTGCTGCACTGCAATTCACGAGCACTGCACCTTCGATAAGCACGGTTGACTATGTATGGTGCGAGAAAAGTGCCGATATACATATCCACTGTCTCTACAGATGTTGTGTACAGGATACTCAGTATGATCACCCGGAGTTGGTGGACTTATAGGGGTATGATATCCACGCCTGACCATGCATCTTATATGGAACAGGATTAGTTGAAACGTCACAGAATGGAGCAGGGAGAATGAGAGATATAAAAGCTGACAGCCTGGTGAGAAGCATTCTGAATCTCTATCCACGAACAGGTCCTAGCCGAACATATCATTCTGTAGTCAGTGGGGGCTTGCGATAATGGAGCAAACATTTCATATGTAACAGACTCTGATATTGCAATCGACCCAACAGGACAAAAAAACAACACGATATTTTCATTATATTACAGCCGATGGTTAATACGACTGTACAGCTCTTGACGGTCGTGCTGTACCGCTCTACAATTTGTTGTTCGTGTTGCATAGAGCGTTTTGTTGGGCACGTCATCCGACGGTTAGTAATGATGAAACTTGCTGCGAAACGTCAGACTTCGTGACGAACAAAACGCAGCAACAACCCGAACATGCGTGAGAAAGCCGACGGTTAAAATCGGTCAGCCGCCGCACAATCAATCGACGTTCATTTGTTGCAGGGAAAGTCCCGTTTAGCTAGTTAACCCAACTAGTTTGCAAGGGAGATCTGTGGCTCTATCTGCACGAAACAACAACGTCGGAGTGATCCGTATGGAGGAACGGGCAACAACGGAACAGAACACATCAGTGGCACGGGCAAAATTAGTGTTTCACGAACAACGGTTAACAGTGAAAACCAAGTAAACAAAAGGCATATTGCACCAAAAAAAAGAGGTGTCATGAGGTAATGAACGTTTGGAAAGGAGCTCGCACGGGGCAGGCAATGTGGGTGGGCCTGCAGGGGAACGCGAACACACGCCGCATTCTCCTCACCTCTGTCGGCATTTTGTATGATCCTGGCCGAGGTGCAGGTCTTCTCCATGGTGTGCCAATGAATACGCTTGCTCAGACTCGTCTGAGAATGACAACAATACCGCAGGGGCGTCAATCTCGCAGCCCGGTCTGTTTTCCACGCACGGCACACCACGCCCAGGATAAACTAGAACTAAAAACTATTTTTTTTATTTTACCAGGTAAGGCCCACTGAGCTATATAGCTCTTTTTCAGAAGCGACCTGGCCACAAATGATCGCCCAATGAAGTGGCTTAACATGTTGAACATTTACTGCAGACAAATACCCTAAAAGCATGTTTCTAAATGTGGAGAGGAAAAGCAGAGGACCCGGAGAAAAATCCACACGACCACGGGGAGAAAATGGTGTTGCTAGGCACGTGCAGAACATTCCACAGCATCTATGGTTTGGGCGCCAGTCTATAACTAAATTAAGCATCGCTCACGTAAACGATTTTATTTCATTGTTACGGGGGAGAATGAAAAATCCAAGAGAGAAACGGAATTGCTCCAAGCCAGGAATTTGTCCTCACCTTGCAGTAGGCGATTTGCAGGTGGACGGGGACAGCTTCTCTGTCACCTTCGATCCCAAATCGCTTCTGCGCCGACCCTGCATGTAGACAACCGTGGGCGTATCGTGTTAGCAGCACGGCAAAGTGGAATGGAAGCATTTACATTGCGCAATGTAAGCAATTACATTACGTAATGTGAACATTTATATGACGGGCGCCGCCACCTTTTAATGGCCCGCATCGATCGCTTGCCACGCATCAATCAAACCAAGCGATTCAGAGAGCTGCAATGAGGTGATGTTGCTGTACAGTAATTGGCGACCAGACTTCGATGGTCAATTCACCGTTTAGTCACTGGCGGTGGCTGAAACCCAGATTCAAACCCAGGGACCTCGGGCGTGTCGGCTCAGTGACCTGACCCTTGGGGCGCGGGGGTCGGGGCACAGGCACGCTGTGGAGGTTTGGGGGTGTGCGTGATGAGAGAAATGGTGCCCGGTGGTGAGAGTAATGAGATTGTAGACATGGTCCACCCCCCCCTCCCACTTCACCACGGAATATAAGAGGAGTTCTACTGCACTTCAATTGTATCAAATACAGGGTGCTTAAAAAAATGTTAACAATTATAATGGGACTATTGTTTTTAATGGAAAAAGAACGGATAATACACTGTAACATGATAACAAATGACGTGTTAATCGTTTCAAAAAGTAAAAAAAAAGTCTCCACTTGCTCGCCATCGTTGTCAACACGTGGCCTGGAATCTTCTCCAGGTGGCCTCCAGAGCCTGGAGGCAGCAGCACATTTCTTGTGGTATTGTTGCAAATTCTCAGAAGTGTTAAAACATTTTTGAAGCACCCTGTATATGGAACTGTAGTGGACTAAATACGCGCATGGGGGTAAATGGTAAGATCGCGCGGGGGGCAGGACAGTACGGGTCATATTGGGACAGCCAGGTGCGATGGTTGGGACGATGAGGTAATGATTAGGCCAATTAAGCTAGGGAGCCAGAGACGGCTGTGATTGGCTGGTGTTGTTGTCAGGGCTGAAGTGGCGTCTTAAAGTCTGGGCAAGGAACATGTGCACGAGGACGCGGAGCGTCGGTGGGACGCGGGCTAATTAATTGGGGAATAATGAGAACGGGGATAAATTGGGGAGACGCGAGGATAGAGGGGAGTTGGATTCGGGGACTGGACGAGGCAAGACGTGAAGCGGAGATGAAGTGAAGACAGCCAGCAGTAGAGAGAGGAAAGCGGAGCTGGGGTGGAGACAGTCAGCAGTGGAGAGAGCACAGTGATAGCGGAGAGCGGAGAGCAGAGATGAGACAGTCAGCAGTGGAGAGAGCACAGTGATGGTGGACAGCGAAGAGCGGAGATGAAGCAGCCAGCAGTGGAGAGGGCAGAGTGATAGTGGAGACAACGGAGAAGCAGTGATAGTGGAGATAACGGAGAAGCAGTGATAGTGGAGATAACAGAGAAGCACTGATAGTGGAGATAATGGAGAAGCAGTGACAGCGGAGCTGACGGAGAAGCAGCGATAGTGGAGATAACGGAGAAGCAGCGATAGTGGAGATAACGGAGAAGCGGAGATTGGAGAGGCAAAGACGGCGAGCGAGTCGAGCAAGGCGCGGCGAGCGAGCCGTGGCAAGCAGGAGAACTGTGAAGCATTGAGGGCATGTGGAAAACTGTAAATAAAGTGGTGTTGGAAGAAAGACAAAAGTTGTCCGAGCGAAATCAACCACTACAGAACTACTGGCTCTATCGACTCAGCGCTGAGTCTACTGTTCATGTGCTACTATTCCTTAAAATATGTATGTACAGTATGTTGAACTTCTTTCGCACTGCACGTGACCGACCGCGATAATCGGAGGTGCGGGGGGGGGGAACAAACTAAACAAAAAAGCAGTTTTAAAGAAAATATTTTTCAATCTAGATGTGAAAGTGCATGGCTCCAGGTGGCTTCCTAAAATCGGAAGGAAGAACGTTCCAGACGGCCGCAGAAGCGCATCCGAACGCGCGCGATGCAGTGACCTTCTTTGTTCGATAGCTAGCAAATTTTGTCATTATCACCATAATAAGCATTTTTCTCAAAACAATTGTTGTTGTCAAAGCAATGCTGACCCAAAAATGTTGTGGCTGTCTTTTAGCCGTGTACAAACATGTCGGGGGTGTCCGGTCACGTGTCCACAACACTCCCATTGGCTACCCACCGCCCCCCCTCCCTACCATACCCCCGCACCCCTTTCACTTCCAGCACTTATTACACCACCTGGGCACCCTCGGTGAATGATCACAGTGCAGTACCTGCTGCCAAGATGGCCCTGCGATCCGCCAGGAATCCCAGCTCCAATTGGCAAATGAATACCTCTTTCTTGACGTCTCCAGAAGCCAGGGTGATCTGCAATGACGCGAGAGCGCCGGCTCAAGGACACCGACAGAGAAAGTAACGCGGTACTCCGGGTGTAGGCGCTCGCGGTTTGCGCCGCATGGCTCTCCGATGTGTTTTTTTGTGGGGTTTCGTTGCGCGCTGTTCAATGTTTCTCTCCACGTCTTGGGGGGGGGGGTGGGGGGGGAGGGGGGCACCTTTGGGAAGCCAGAGCTCTCAAAGTTACTCATTCAGACATTGGAAAAAACTCACGGCGCGTGGAGCGAAATATCGGGACATCGCGCACGGTGTGGCTGCGAACACCGAGGGGTATCAGGGGTTAAACTGTGAAGTGAATGCATGTGACATATTCCACGATTGCCAGTAGCGGTGAGATTAATGATGAATGCCAAGAACTCTCGGGGTGAAAGACTGGCTGCGATGCGTGAGCCAGCCCAGTGTGGGGGCGTGAGATGAGTCCCGCCTCTGCAAAGGAGGCGATCGAACAGACCCCAGCGGTCGAGAATAAGGGGTAGCGGAGAAAGCGAGAGCACATTTTACAGAGCCGACTTTATCTCCCCTTGCGGACTGGGGGTATAAGGTAATTGGCTTAATATTATCGGTAAAAAGTGTGCATAGGTATTATCGTCAAAGTACATAATCTCTTCAGATGATTTTCTGCTGCTGCTGCTTCTTCAACACTCGTCAACAAACGCTGGTGGCCTTAAAAAAAAAAACAATATATAATCGACGGGTTTCAAATATAATCCATGCCTATGATATATGCATGTTTATTTATTTAAGGCAGTGTTGTTGATAAATCTGTTGAGTAATCTCCACAGTACATTTAAAACGTTTTCAACAAGTGGAGAGACGCTGTAGCCGAGGGGATGGGCTACAACTGAGAACCCAAATACGAGGCGGGGATTTAAATCCGTGTCGGGAGGGTGAGATCCTTCTTTTTATTTATTTATTTTACATACACAGGCTGTCACGACCGATATTACGGTTCATAATTGGTGTCTTTTTGGGTTCAGTCGTGGTGTACAAATGTGTGTCGTAAACCGTCCTCCACCCGACACAGCCAATAGAATAAATGAGTCACGTGCATAAAAGGTGTCGAATTTATAACCACTCCAGCATTGTTATTGGAGCGGAACCCTCGCAACATCTGCACAGGGTGCAACGTTTCACTGGAGACTAAATCCAGCTCCTGTCAACAACCTGATGATGCTGAATGCATCATCGTCGTCATCATCATCCAGCGAAACGTCGTTCCCATCTGAATCTTTGTGAAATTCCTCTCCAAACAAACGCACTGGCGGTGCTGCTGAAGCAGTGATTTGGCTCGCTTGATGCACGTGATACTTTTAGTAATTGGCCGTGTCAGGTTGAAGAGGGTTCACGAGGCAGGGAGGACCCACACTTTACCCCACCACACGTGCTCTTGGTGATTGGCTAACAGCCGTGAGCCTGAATCTATAGAGACGGGGGAGGGGGGGGGGACTTAACAAACTTGCAGAATTGCTTCGACTGCCGCTCGGGGAGACGGAATAGAACCGGCGACCTCTAAATTTCTCCGGTGCGCTTGCCTTCGCGTCACGGAAAACAAAATACCATTCACCAGAGACGCCAGAGGTTGTTGATAGGGCCCTTTCGCGTGCAATTAAGCACACTCGTGGGCCATTATCAGAGATGCCACCAAAAAAAAAAAGAGGAAACCATGCATCAGACCGAGATGCGCTCATTGCTTCTCACCTCGATCTCGTAGAGAGGGATGGGGTGAGGATGCGCCGCATGCTGGCAGTAGTAGAGGATCATGTCCATGAGCATGCTGACTTCCTTCTGGGAGTTGATCACCTCATCCTTGGAGCTCGACTGAAACAAATTCAGAGTTGCTTCGATTTGGGATTTTGTGTTTTAGTTTTCTCTCCTTTAGTAGGGGTAAAAACGGAATAGGCTTGAAAAGCACTTTGAGGTATATTTAAATGTAGAATCAGCTTTAACCATATCCTCAGTAGCAGCTGAGTAAGCTGGTGGGTAGTGCGCACACCACCAGGAATTCTGGTTCGATTCACCCAATCACTTCGCATATTCTACCGGAACTCACCAAGACATGGGAAGATGGATGGTACAAAGCTCCTTCGGGCTTTGCCCTCATCCCATTTAAGTTTTCAATCTTTTCAATCACAATTAAAAGCTAATTTCTTCAAAACTGCTTTTTGTGTTTAGTTCGTTGTCCTTTCCACCACACCTCCGATTAGCACGGTTGGCTACGTACGGTGTGAAAGAAATTCAACGTACATGTACATAGATACAGGTGGGTGATCATCGTCCCCCCCACCCCCCCCCCAACTGGCAGACTTATGCTGCTCGTTTGTCAGAGTGGGTTGCTGAGTCAGAGCCCCGTGCTGCGCACTGATAGCTGCCAACTGGGGGTCTGGGGTGCCCTTTCAAACGTGTTTGAGATGCAAACGTGAGATGCAACGCTCTCTGAGACACCGCGTCGTATTGGAGGGCGCTCTGTCCAAAAAACGAATCGTGATCTTTATCGCCATTATAGTCAGCATGTTACGAGCAACAAACGCTCGGTTACTTAACAAAAGACAACGATAATTACGACCAACGTTTTACACACCGTATCAGTTATTGTCATTATCATCATTAGCACCACTGGTATTGTCGTCATCATCATGGGGTGAAACAGAGGTGGCACGCGCTCACCTTTGGCAGCAGCGTGGGCAGCATGTCGTAGAGGGACAGCACGTTGCGGTCGTACCACGGATCCACAGAACCGAGGTAGTTCCCAATGTTCATCAGGACATCCGATTTCAACAAGTCGTTTTCCTGCGCGTAGCAGTAAAAAAAAAAAAATCGATGTAATTTTTCATCAACACGATCGTCGGTTTTGGCACCACGCCTGTCGGTAACCATAGGCAACGTCATTCCTGAAAAGGGTGAATTATATGAGGGAAAATGGTTGAAGGGCATTTTAGGCTTTAAAAGATTGAGATGCTCATTCGAATTATTTTGAGCAGAAGTGTTCTGACGGCCTCAGCCTGGTCATTGATATGAAGCAAGCGGTGCAATATTGCTTTTCCGGGGTCCCTTATAGACCTAATATCAGGTGCTAATGTTGCTTGTTATGAGAATTTAAAATGGGAAAATTCAACATTTCACGGCATGATGGCAGTGCAAAGGCACCTCAAGAATTCCTTAAAACATATAATGCAAAGCGTGTCTAGATAAACTTTTTGAAATCTGAAGCTGAAAAATGGGATCCAGTTATGCTCTTAAACATTTTTTTTACATTTGCCCAATGCCATGACAAAATCATTTTCATTGATACGATATGCACACATATTTCAATATGTGCCAGTGGAACATTAGGGAATGGTGCATATGCTGTCTCTGATTATGAAAGAAGCTGCGTTGATGTGGGGATGAGTGGGGATGGTATTTGATGCATTCTAGTTCACCCAAAGGTTGCAGGGAGGGTTAAAAAAACAACGATTCGACATTGGTTCGAAGCTTTCGTGACTGCAGGAATTAATCTTTGTTTTTTTCGGTAAAGTCACGTATAAATAATAAAAATAACATAATAGCGTACGACGTTTCGGTTGCAACACAAGCAGCCATCATCAGGTATAGAAGAGCTAAATTTACGAGAGAGGGGAAACACATAACCCTAGATGTATACACAGACACCCAAATAGGGGGAACTAACACCGACACAATAGGGGTCACACAGAGAGAAGCATACCAAACAGAGTTTAGCAGAATTTGGAAACTATATAAAGCAACACAGACGGTCGGTCAAAACACAATTAACGCATAGCCTGGTTTATTACGTTATTTTAAAGATTGCTAAATTGCAAGTTAAGTATGAAATTTAAGATATAGACGGCACACACACACATAGACATTCAAGTAGAGCGGACCTGCACAGGTACAAGCACACAGTGAAGTCGCCTTAAATAGGCAGAGAAGGCAAGGCTGAGAGACAATGGGACATATTAGCATGAGAAGGCAAGGCTGAGAGACAATGGGACATTTTAGCATGAGGTATGCATAGAGCAAAGTGGAGCACGGCAGCAAACATTCGGAAGCACCAAAGACCTACACACAGGCAGAAACAACACAGAGAAACAAAACAAAGATTAATTCCTGCAGTCACGAAAGCTTCGAACCAAGTTTAAACCGCCTCTACGGGGAGGTATAAGGTCTGCATCTTTGTGTCTGTCTTTGTGTTGTCTTGTGTTGTCTGTGTGTTGTCTCTGCTTGTGTATCTGCCTTTGTGTCTGTGCTTGGATTTGTTTCTCTGTGTTGTTTCTGCCTGTGTGTGGGTGTTGGTGCTTCTGAGTGTTTGCTGCCGTGCTCCACTTTGCTCTATGCATACATCATGCTAATATGTCCCATTGTCTCTCAGCCTTGCCTTCTCTGCCTATCTAAGGCGACTTCACTGTGTGGTTGTACCTGTGCTGGTCCGCTCTACTTGAATGTCTATGTGTGTGTGTGTGCCATCTATATCTTAAATTTCATACTTAACTTGCAATTTAGCAATCTTTGAAATAACGTAATCAACCAGGCTATGCGTTAATTGTGTTTTGACCGACCGTCTGTGTTGCTTTATATGGTTTCCAAATTCTGATAAACTTTGTTTGGTATGCTTCTCTCTCTGTGTCCCCTGTTGTATCTGTGTTAGTTCCCCCTACTTGGGTGTCTGTGTATACATCTGGGGTTATGTGTTTCCCCTCTCTCGTAAATTTAGCTCTTCTGTACCTGATGATGGCTGCTTGTTGCAACCGAAACGTCGTACGCTATTATGTTATTTTATTATTTCTTATTAATACGTGACTTTACCGAAAAAAACAAAGATTAACGATTCGACAATTTGTTTTTCCCATTGAACAGGCACTGTACTGAACCACACGAACCAAAGGATAACACTCATGAGATGCAGTCTCCATAGAGACGTAGCTGGAAGCAGACATAGCCACCGATGCCCCCTCAGGCCAGAGGCTGACTCACTCCTATACTGTATCATCATCGATTCTGAATGTGTCCCCGAGGGCAGACAACTCATATTAAATCGGGCACCTAATTTGTCATGCCACTTCATGTTGATGGCTATCTTTGTGGACCCTATAAAACCATTCCCACATATAGTTTTTAGTTTGAAAAACAGTTGTATAGTTTTACATCACTCCGAGGGTCCAATGTGGCCAAGATGACCACTTATGCCCTAACCACAGGCCTGTCAGTAGAGGGCTCCGTTTCAGATATGGGCCCCAAGTTGCCGTGCCGACTGCATGCTTGTTAGCGTAGCCCTGACATACACACATACAAAGTAAACCTAGTTTCCATTGGGCAAGCAATTCGAGAAGACTTGAGGTGGCCTGAACTCAACGTGAAGGACAACTTGTGTTCGTCAGAAAACAAATTGGCATTTCTGTGATTTTCAGAGTTGCATGTGGGCAGAAGGTATCGTTCTGAGTAAGATTTTCGCAGAAGTACTTGCGAGTAAAAATGTCAAGAGCTCATTTATTACAAAATTAAATGTCAAATGCGTCATAGAGTAATTCCGCCAACTTCACCATTGTTGACTTAACATTTTTTTTGGTGACGTATTTTTGGTGTAAGGGAAATAGCCCAGGAGAATTCGAGATGCAGCTCAAGTCGAGTTCAATATAAATGTGGCATCACAGTACCGCATACTCGAGTTCTGTGGCTTAATGAAATAGTGTTTGCACATTTATACTGCTTTCCCACTGGCACATCCGAGCCGAGCCAGCAGAGGGCCCTCATAGTACGGGTAGTTTTGTTTTTCACTTGCTATTAGTCGTGCCGAGTCAGAACCAAACCGTGATATGCTGGCCTCAAAAGACACCTGGATATGTCTAACAGCTATCAGTGACAGACTGGGACTGCCGAATATGGGACCAACTTAGAGCATAAATAAGCAATGAAGCATACACATTACAGGCAATATCATATTTTAATTTAACAAAATATATATTTTTACTCTGATCACATTTACAATTTCCCCACACAGGCTGGCCCACCGGCCCTCGGAATGGACCAACCCACCAGGCGGCACGCAGAGCCAGGGACCTAGCTAACGACACCTTAATTGCGTGTGACGTTAGTCGCTGGACGACTCAAACAACAAGCGTCACCGTGTCACCCGCATGGCATCTCATCCCCCGTTCAGTGCGTGCGACGTCAGTGGCGCGGTTTGAGTTCTGCAGTGGAAAAACAAACCTGGCGCCTCCCCGAGACGCTCCGGCTGGCTCGGCATGACTCCAGCATGGCTGAGCTGCGCAGTGGAAGAGGAAAGAGATATAGGGGGCAAATGGAGGAGTGACTGTACCGTCGTCTGGAAGCTGTTCCGAGGAGAGTTGGAATTGCAGTTTGCTTCCGAGGAAGATAGCCTCTGTGCCAGTGGAATGTAAAATATCTCCAGCCGGTAGTGGCGGAACAGCTGTGGGTTCCACAGTTCCTGCATCCTGTGTGTGCAAATGGCAAAGTTGGCTCCTTACACAACACATAAAAATACCCATGACGTTGTGGCTTTATCATGGCATTTAGCACACGCTGCAATACTCTAATTTAAAGCTTCCCCGTATCTTGATTTAAAAAAGGCAAAGCAATCCTTTTTGCTCTGGAATTGCACATGAGTGGGACCAAAGTCGTGTGTTTCCATGCCACCGCCGTCGTCCGTTTCCACAAAACATTGGCAATTTATATTATCGATGTCTTTGGAATAATAGGCTACTGAGTAAAAAAAACAATGTATCCTCGACTTTTCGATTAGAAGTCAGCCACTTTGCTACATTGCCAACATTAAATAAACAATACTGTTGCCGTTATTATTATTGGACAGTCACAGTGCCAATTCGTTGTAAACTGAGATATAGATGGCTGTGGGTAAAGATGGTATATTTGAACAATGGTAGCTACACCGGCACAAATACTATAGTGGGTGGTTAACTGGACAAGGCAAATATGTGACATTGTACCGCATTATTAAACAATGCAAAATAACGATTAAGCTTAGGTGTGCAACATGTTAATAACAAAATTAGTATGTATTACAGTGTATAGTTCAGCATCAAATGCGGCACCATTTCTTACAGAAACGGTCTTTGCCCATAAACACTGGGTAGTTCGCAAGCATTACTTCAAGCGAGCACGACTTGATGGGTGAAGACAATGATTTTTAAACACATTCCAGAATTTGTGAGCATTGAACCAATGCTGCTGGTGAGATACACTCCCAGAAAGCTGTGGCGCTGATAGGATGTGCATCAATTTATTTATTTAATATGGGAAGGTGTGATTATTTATTTTATTACAATGGAGACTTCAGGAATACAATATTTTAATGGATAGGCCAACCTATCATAATTGTGCAATATTACTTCAGGATCGTGTATTCGTTCTCTGAAATAATGATGTTTTTGTCTTTGCGTTTGTTGTTGCTGCTGTGTCCACGCACCATGGATCTCCCGTGGAAAAGAGCCGGGCAACTGGCTAAACGGGATCAGCCGTGTAACAAATGAAATTCAACTCAAACTTAATAAGAACAGAAAAACAGAACAGGCAAAAAAAACCATGCAAAAACGTGCACCAGAAAGAAAAAAAACGATCAGCAGTTCCTGAGAACTGCACCGTGGTCCTTTTGAGTTAAGACTTCGAGAGTATTAAGTGGGCGCCGCAGTGGAGAGATGTTAACTTCCTCGCCTGGTATACAGGAGCGCGCACTGGCAGAGCCAGTGGGGGGGGGGGGGGTGGGGTGGCACGTGCCCCCCCCAATGATCCGATCGAAATTAGGGATTTCGATCAGATCATTGGGGTTTATTAGTAATAAATCGGCATTAAGCGACCCCCACTGCCAAAGTGTAGCATATTATTATGTGCCAGGGACTCTATGAGATGATAGGACAATACTCTTTGGTTCTTTCGGTAAAGTCACGTAGAAAGAAAATACATTAAATAATAACACAAGCAACCATCATCAGGTACGAATGAATGAGAAAACAAACCTAGCAAACTTAGAAATATAATGCAATACAACACAGAGAGTCGGCCAACACAACAGTCAACACCCCACCTGGTTGATTACGCTCCTCCAAAGATTGCTAAATTTGAGAGAGAGACAAAACACAGACACGGAGACACACAGACAGACACAAGCAGAGAGAGAGAACACACAGAGACACACAGAGAGAGACACACAAACACACAGAAAGACAACACCTCTGTGTCGAGGCCTTAAATAGAGACGGGGGGGGGGGGGGTGGGGCAGAGGGGGGGGAGTTTGGGGTACCTGATGATGATTGCTTGTGTTGCAATCGAAATGTCTATTCTATCATTATTTAATTTATTCTTCTTTCGATGTGACTTTACCGAAAGAACCAAAGAGTAATTCCTGCAGTCACGAAATCTTCCAATCTAGTTTGATAGGACAATAGTCTGAGTTCATAATTGGCAATAAGTGACGGCAAAGCCGTTATAAGTGACTCACAGAATTGTGCGCAGTTGCGTATACAATACACGACTTCCCTGAAGGCATTCACCTTCAGCGGGCGCGATGCCGATCACACAACGCGGTTCGAATTCGATACCTCGATCGATGGCTGCGCCATCGCCGCACACGCGTCAAATAAAAAGCAAGGGACAAGTCGTTACTTACTAACAACTCCTATCATTTATCTTTGCTGGAGGGGTTGCCGCCACTACCTGAAAATCCTGGCTCTGCCATTGGGAGTGCGTGGATTCGATCCCGACCCTGACACCTGTGTATTTGGAGTTTGCATGTTCTCTCTCGCCGTGGCCACTTGGGATTTTTCTCCGGGTCCCCCACTTTTTCCCTCCAACATTTAGAATCGACATCCGTTTAAGAGTATTTGGGCTGCGATAAATTTCCACGCGATGATGAAGCCACTTCGTCGAGCTATCATTTGCGAATCGGCCGAGCACCACCCACCAGAGGCGGTTGTAGGCACGCGCCAGCTTTCCGAGGATGTGGTCCTCGCCGAACGCCACGAGCCGCATGATGTTGCAGTGGCGACGCCGAGTGCCCTGCGCCTCGAACGCGACGCGTCGCCGCCACTGCGCTGCCGCCTCGCGCAGCTGCAGCTTGGCCACGGCGCCCACGTCTGGCCGCTCAATGAAGCCGAACTGCGAATCGGCTTTGCCCGGCTGGCCGGAGGCGCCGGGCGCTCGGCACAAGCGGTCCCGGAGCAGGCCCAGCCGGTGAGAGATCTTGTGCGACAGGGTCCTGGACACGTCGCGGTTACAAACACCCCGGTTTGACTCGGCGCAAGCGATAAGGAAAGTTAAACGGGGTCACAAATAATGTCCCCCTTGAGTGCACGGCATGAAACGCACCCTAAACCCTAATTAGAGAACTAAAGAAGAGGCGTCCATTCTTGTTCAACCAATTAAAAGATAAGTAAATAAGAATGGGAAAGGACCACTAATCTTCTTCGCATGGCTGACATACGATTAGAGCAACAACTATAGTTTTACATTGAGGTGCTTGAGCCAGATGCTTGCGTCAGTGAGCAGTGGAGTACATCGCTGCGATGCCTCCTTCGTACTTTTGAATCGGGCATTGAATCGCTACGTACGTTCCATGGCCTGTTCTGGGTGACCACAGAACCGCTAAGGGATGACTGCAGTGGCGAGCTGTGTATTTTACACCTAGGCCTTCAGTGCTATTCTCCCGCACTTAAACCGCTTTTGAATAACCTCACCATGACACTAGGGCTACAGGCTATAGTCATTCGACGTAACCACCCCATATTCACAGTGACAGTAACCTTTATCGAGTGGAATAAAGTGATTTAACACGAGGCTCAACACCTATGAGAGTTACAATACACTAATTGCAGTGACTGAAACCATCAAGGATGTACCACTATTACGCAGTACGACAGGATGCTGCATCACAAATAGACATCGCATAGCACAGATTAATGTCATTACCAAAGAAACAAGAATAAACTCACAACCAACAACCAGTCACATTTACTTATACGACCACCAAGCAAGCAAAAATGCCGTAAAATACAAATAACACAATCAGGATTCAACAGGCTTCCCCACAGAAAAAAAACCCCAAAAATCTAAAGCACTACATCTAAAGATCTAAACGTCACGAAATAAAGTTTAAACAAATCTTAGATGATGCTACGTTACGTGCTAGCTAGTTTACTTCAGTTAGCTAACTGGCCCTCCGATCACGCCACACGAAAAATGCTAACGTAGGCGGCTAGGCCAGCTAGAAGGCTCTGGCATGTCAAAGAAAACGCCCAACATGGCAAACTCGAAATCTAATTGGTTGAAGAATATGACAATCAGCAACATCGTTCCCATTTGCTTCAACAGCAGAGGGGATTCACTCGACATTCTGAAGGCCTCAGTGTAGATTCTTCACTCGGAGGGGCGGAGACAGCACAGGTGGAAAATCTGATTGGATAAAAGCTCTAATTTATGAGCTGCACTGGAAGCAGCGCAACTGAGGGAGAGAGTAACAATGAAATGACGTTAATAGACTGATGGGAACGAACTTTGTAAAATATAGAAATAATTAACGAAAATATATAAAATTATTTTTTAAAAATTCCGATTCTGACAATCTCTAGGGCGCAGAAAAAGTCTTGCAAGCCCTGACGGCCCGCCTCTGGATGACTGCGACCCAAGCAAGGTCGATGATTGAATGAAAATCTGGTCTACAATGCCTCGGGGCGTCTGACGTGAGTGCCGTGTTAATGAGGAAAATCAATATTTTAAGGGGACTTTTAAGTGCACTTCCAAAGCGTTAAGTGACATGCCTGCCCTGATCTTCAGGAATGTCGTTAGAGGGTTATGGCATTATGCCTGAAAGTAACATTGATGCCTTTTTTTCTCATTCATTGAGCTTCGACATCATGTCTGAATGAACATCCGAGACACACAACCCACCCAGGTGCGTGCCTGCAACAACACGATCTATCCATTGCTTATCTTCTGCCTTCACGACAACGGGACTTTGACAGATCGGGCCATTACCTCTGCGCGGGCTTGGACTCGCCGAGAAAGGGCCCCGAGATGATGGGCAGGGAACCCGTGCGCTCCCGACTGTTTGCCAGCTTGCTTGGCAGCGTGCAGCTCTTGCGCAACCGCGCATCCCGAGATCCGTTCAGGGCCAGCGGCAGCAGCTCCTCGTACGGCGGGGGCTGCTCCTCCGCCCGCGTCATCGTCGCGAAGTCCGCCCGTAAATTCTCCCGGCCCCCCGCGGGGTCCTGCGCCGAGCTTTGCCAGGGCACGCCGTGGCATGCCCGGCGCGTCCCGGACCCGACGTCCGCTTCCAGCGCGGCCTGCAGCGCCGCGGCGGGATCATCCTCCAGGTAGCCGCTGTCGCTGCTGCAGGACAGCAGGTTGGCGAAGTTGTCGTCCTCGGCGTAGGAGGACGTGTCCGAGAGGAGCGAGTCCCGCGGTGAGGGGGCGGCGGTCAGGGAGCCCTCTCCGCCGGGCATTGGGTCCGCGCTGGGGACGTGTTCCGCTGGCAGCATCTGGTAGAGGAAATCTGTGCATGCACAGGGTTGGGGGGGGGGGGTGGATGGGTGCCCTCGTCGATGCAAGCCACATGCCGCGTTTCCGTCCGCATGGAGACCACGAGGATGATTTGTTTTCTTTGATACAGGGCCCCTCCCTGTGCGCTCAACATCGCGCCTCGTGCGAACACATTTGAAAGGTCATCCCAAGCGGCAGATGTCCCTGTTGTGCCCACGAGGTGACTCGGCACCTAACCTGCAAATGGCATTTGTCTGCCGGCACGTGGGTGGCAATTTTCCACGGGCAGCATAATCCAAATTGGGGTTCATCGGTTCAGTGGGAGAGTAACAGAGGGTAAAATGTGATGGCAATAAACGTCGAAAAACCGGGCTGCTATAAATGTACACATGATAAGCCACTTCGTTGAGCTATCATTTGTGAAAGCCAGGTCGCTTCTGAAAAAGAGCTGTATAGCTCAGTGGGCCTTCCCTGGTAAAGTAAAACGTTTAGTTGAGTAGTTTAGTTTAAAATGAACGAAAAAGGGACAAAGCAAAAAGTAAAATCGAAGGCGCGATGACGTGACCCCGCTCCTCACTGAGGTTGTCTTTGTCCCAGACGTGAGCGAGGCACGCAGCCGTGCAGTCTCCCTCGCACGTCACCTCCACCCCTCCTCGCTCAGAGCCCACGCCGTCTGTGCAGCAGCAACAACAAACAACAAAACGAGCCACCTGTGACCTATTACTGACGTCAAATCGCCAACAAAGGCAGCACTTCGTCCACTTGATCTTCGTTATAATGAAAAAAAGGACACCGCCACTGTGACCATCACTCCGCTTTCCCCACCCCTCACGTCTTTATTTTAAGAAGCCAATCCCGTAACATTCCAACAAATGAGCTCTGGAAATAAGGGCGTGCGACCTGCATTTCTTGGAATGTACCATGCGTCAGAAAGGTGAATGAAGAGAATCTAAAAAATAAAATGTTCAAAAGCAACGTGGCCTGTAACCCAGGCAACAGCCAGGCCAGAGTTGATGGACCATCGCACTCATGCTGTGAAACTCCCTTCCCGTGGACGTTGAGGAGGTGCCATACCCTGGCTTGCCAGAAAAAGGCGGTACAGCAAGTGGACTGATCGCCACCTGTTTCCATCTGTACGGGGATAGAGCGTTGCCCCCCTCGCGCAAGGTGTGGGTTGTCTCCGGGTGCTCCGGTTTCCTCCCACGTGGTATTATAAACACCTTCATCACCAACTGGCTAAAAAAAACCAGGACCTTCCTGAAAAAGAATCCTATGACTCAGTGTGGCATTCCTTAATAAATAAGAAAATCATTATTTTACCAAAATATTCTGCCACATGTTGCGTTCATGCGAAAGGTGCAGCCCCGCAATTGCTTGCTCACACCACTGCTGGCGGAAGTGCCTCTGCTCGAGGGAGATCTACATAGACAGCCTCCCCCCTCTCTCTCAAGTGCCACCTCTTCATCCACACCAGCCAGACGTCTTATAAGAGGTGGAAAGTACCCACTCTTTATCCCACCCCACATGACCTGCAACATCAACGAACTTAACACTCTACGTATAATCAAGGTGCATATTCGATCACAAAATAAGGAACATGAAGACAAATTTTACGGACAGGTATTTTCTAAGAGAAGTAGTGGTGAGCCCATGTTACAGTCTGATTTCGGTATCCACAGCTTCTGTAACTACAGATATCAGCAAAGAGGCTGCCCTTTATCTTCACAGACAGCTGGTCAACGGGCACTGTGTGGGCACCCAATAAAGGCCGGAATCAGGCACGAGAGCGTGGTACGGTCACCACCAGTCCCAGCCCTCTTTATCTCTCCAGTGATAACACAGACCGCTGCACTCCACCATGACCCACATTTATGCCGAGATTACACGGGAGACACTCCTCGCCGAGCTAAGATGCATAGCCAGAATTAAGCCGGGGGGGTTATGGGATCGTGGGCGTGCTGTGGTAAAAGGAGACAACAGCACCACATCACAAAATAAAACAAGACTGCTGGAGCAATTGCTGCTCGCGAGTAGCGCACAAGAAGGTCAGGACGACACACGAGGGGCATGGTAGCCCAGCACCACGCCAGACAGCCGCCTTTGCCCCCCCCCCCCCCCAGTGCTCATGTTTTACACATTGCACCAGGTTACTCGTTCAAGGCTGAGTCAACTTAGGGGAGAGGTTTGCAGCACGGCGTGCTAACCACGACCGATCCCCGCAAAGCACCGCTCCGCACACACAAAAAAAACAGACACAAACGCACACACGGCAAGGCCAAAACTTTTGAATTCATACATTGTTTTGAAAACGTGCTCGTGGTAACTCGGGTATATTTAACCCTGTCTGTATGGTAATAAAGTAATGAAAACAATCAGCACCATTGCGCCTGCTCTAATCATGATTGAATTCATTGTCATCGTCGTCCGAGCATGTGACTGAATGAAAGCAGTAGTGCAAAGGTTAGCACGCACTTACCCCATGAACCCGATGACCTGAGTTCGTCAGTGGCCAGTGAAACAGGCCTAGGGCACCGCCGTCACGCAACTCGTAGTGACCAGCATGGTGAGGTATGAGCGAAACGGCCTTGGTGAAGCCTTAATCCGGCAGTGAAATCGTTGCAACTTTATACGTATATATTTTATCGTAAAACAATATGCTTCAAATGTCATGTGACACGATTGCATGAAGTGCGACTGTTTGTACGCTTACAAATGTGGAGAAGCAGAATTGTGTAAGATGTGTGTTTTTTTTAATGATATGACCCAAAAAAACACATCGCTGAGAATATGCTAAATTCTATGCTAATTCCTTTGTCAAGGGGTGCCTCTGCGGATGTGTATGCTTTAACTTAGCTATTTCAATGCTAAATTCTATGCTAATTCCTTTGTCAAGGGGTGCCTCTGCGGATGTGTATGCTTTAACTTTAACATAGCCATTTCTGTGACCAGTCACAAGCTAATCACTCAGCCATTTCAATGCTAAATTATATGCTAATTCCTTTGTCAAGGCGCTCTGTTTCTTCTCACACAGCTTAAAGGTCGTGATCTGAGCGTGGCTTTTTCACTCCAGCGCTGTCCTACCAGACAGTCTCGTCCCTTCACCTGATGAAGGCCGCTTGTGTTGTGGCCGAAACGTCGTGAGAATATTATTGTGTTATTTTATTTTATCAATGTATTATTTTATTCTCATTCTACCTGGTGACTTTACCGAAAGAACCAAAGAAGATGAATATGCTTCTCATATTTTCATAACCGTGCACACAGTCGTAGTTTATGCCATTGTGCTAATAGCAGGAATAACATAAATTCAGGTTGATATTTGTATAGGGGTTTCTGTCAATAATAATGTTTTGCTCGAGTGCGATGCCAAGCTGTGGATATTATGAATCAATTGCATTTGAAATGTAAGTTAAAGAAGCAGCCTTTAAATATGTAACGTTTAATAATTCATTTATTTCCCTTATCGGCGTTACCTCTCCGTACCTCGAATGCACATGCACTATAAAAATGCTCATATTATTACCATATTTGTGTATAGAATCTTTATAATTCATATTTAGGCATTTCATATCTTTTCAGGTTTCATATGTATATATAAGGCTGATCAATCCTTACGATTACATTTGGACATGCACTTTAAAAATACGTTCTCGTGATTCCAATATATAACAGGCATGATTGTTACACGGTTGTGTTTAAAAATAATATAATGTACATTCAATTGGAAATATATTTTGGAAGGGCACAATTGAATGTACAATTCATACACTGAGAATGTATCTCCGAGCAGATCTACTGACAGTCATAGCCAAGGAAAGGAGCATGTATTAGAACACGACCATACTGGAGGTGCTGGGCAGATTCATTATTGCATCGCAGGATCATGTGACATGGCTGTAGCTTGGAAAGGCCTTCATCCAGCAGTGGAATGACCAAGGCGGATGCTGATGATGATAAGTTATCTTGAGAGAGAATTGAGGCTACAGCACGCTTACAAACATTTTTAAGCCAAAGTGTTTCTCCGCTTGGGCAGTGCTTATCTCCCATTGTCCACCATGGGCCTGTGCTGTAAATTCCACATTATCATGGCCGGAGTCAGCTGAACATTAAAGAAAATACCACTAAATTTTGATTTAAAGCTTTCGTGACTGCAGTAATTCATATTCTTAGTTTTTTCGGTAAAGTCACGTTGAAGGGAAACAACAAAATAATAATATATATAAAACAATAAAAAATTATCACGACGTTTCGACCATAACTCAAACGGTCATCTTCAGGTGTGTTGGTTTGCATAAATTTATTTTTAAACGGCGCGTTTATTTATTTAAAAAACCCGTTAGCGCCACGCGCAACGATTTAGCAGTTTATTTAGGACTAGTCCATCTATATTCTGAAAAGAGGAGGGGGGAGACGAAAAAAAAATTCGTCTCCCCCCTCCTCTTTTCAGAATATAGATGGACTAGTCCTAAATGAACTGCGAAATCGTTGCGCGTGGCGCTAAAGGTTTTTTTTTAAATAAATAAATGCGCCGTTTAAAAATAAATTTATGCAAACCAACACACCTGAAGATGACCGTTTGAGTTATGGTCGAAACGTCGTGAGAATTTTTTTTATTGTTTTATATATATTTTATTATTTTGTTGTTTCCCTTCAACGTGACTTTACCGAAAAAACTAAGAATATAAAATACCACTAGTTGACTTCCTACAAAATGCTGCACAATGTCTCCATCGATTTAGAAATCGAAATATATTCCTCACTCCCATGATGGTTCTGCCCTGTCACATTCAATCCCACATGCACAACTATGACTCGTGGGAGATCACAGCATTGGTGCCTTTTTTTCATGACTGCAAGGTAATTGAAGGAGCCCCTTGCATCTGCTCTCAATTGGCACCGTAGCTTCCGTTAATAACTCACTTCTTGAAAAATTGATCCGAGGAAAGGATATTACTCATTTTGTTAAAGACTGCCCACAGGAAGACAATAATAAAGCAGCTGGAGTTAAAACCATATAAATTTAAAGCCTCATCTCTGCTTCTTCACGCCTGATATTCGGTTGATGTGTGTGGGGGTTCTTTTTTTCTCGCAGGGGAAATATTCCATCTCAAAGGGAAATTTACCCCTCACTGAGCGTGTGCCACTTTTAAGCGTTTGAGGCTTGACACGCGGGAACGCATGTTGAAGTAGGCGGGGGTCAAGATGAAGGTGTGAAGGTGCGGCCCATAGTGAAGGCCCTGTTGGTGAAAGGGCCTCCACTACAGCGAGGCCTTCAAGAGCCCCTCTGGGGGGGGGGGGGGGGGGGGTATATTTTGGTTTTACTCATCGAGGTTGGCCAGACGTCCTGAATAAGGTTGGCGCAGCATCCACACTTTACCTCACCGCACGCGCACCCTGTTGATTGACTAATTGCCGTGCACCTATTTATACTGTTGGCTGGACAGACGCGGTGGGGAGGGGGGTTAGGAAAATTGCACCACTGTTTCAACTGCCGTGCATGGAGATGGAATAGAATCTGTGACCTCTGGACTGCAAGTCCAGTGTGTTAACCATTGCACCACGGTGGTGAGATGTTAACTACCTCGCCTGGTATGCAGGAGGTCGTGGTTTTGATCCCGACCCTGACTCCTGTTGTATATTTGGAGTTCGCATGTTCTCCCTGTGGTCACGTTG